TATGATGAACCAGCATTGGCAAATTATGCCATATAGGCATAAATTGACACCAAATTTCAAGAGACCTGAACTAAGATTTTAAGGGGACTAACATTTTAATGGTCCCTGTTTGAATTTCTGAAAATTTGGCTGAGTTGATATGCAATTACACCATGCATGCATGCATGCATATATATATATATATATATATATATATATATATATATATAATATATATATATAGATCCGACAGAAAACTTTAAAAAAATTAAAAAAAGTGAATTTTGAAAAAAACAGAAAATTTCTTTGATAAAAGAAAATGCAATGTTATGTGACATCTGTCCCTTTTTAATCAAAGATGTTAATGACAGAATAAAAGAAGGCTGCTAAGGATATCATGGAGATGTTTCGATGAGGTCTTAGAGAGGTTGCAAACAAGGAGAAGACTTATTAACTTCAAGAGGCAGCTGAATATTACATAAACATAATGGAGAATCTGAACAAGTTGAATATATTCAAGTCAACATTATTCTATAGTATTTTTCATGTATATCCATAATCGAATGTTTTAAAATTATTTTAAGATTATTTAGATGGGATAGGTTATTCTGGATAGTGGATGAAAATTATGTATCTGTTTTCATGTAATTTTTCCTGTAATTTATTTTTGGATTGTATATTGATATTTTTTGCCTTTCTTCTTGCGTTGTGGATAAAATAAATTGCCAAAACTTCCTCCCAATACATTGGAGAAAGAAGCAGAAATTTTTAAAAATGCATCTCTGAGCACAAAAGAGACCTCACAAAAAACAACTTAACTAATGCACTAGTCATACATTGAAATAAATTCAACCACAATTTTGATTTTAAAAATGCTACACTCATAAAAAAAGAAAATAACTCACTCAGAAGGAAAATCCTTGAGAGTGCCGCCATTTAATATTATTCAAATATTAATCTACGCCCAGGTTTTTTCCTGATATCCCCTTTCTATCAGAATTACTATTCTCCCAAACAAACATACACAACTGTATCAAGAAATCAAAAGAAAATGGTTGAATTCGTCAACACAACAATAAAAACAATATTTACATGTGACAGTACTTGACGTAATTTTCTGTTGACAATATGAATACAATAGTGTTTTCTAAATTCTTCTAAGGACATTTTGTTTTGTTGTTAATAGTTACTTTGTTTTAATAAATTCATTTTGTTTTGCCTTGAAAAAGTCCACATTGGACAAAAACACGTTTTTTTTCTTTATACATAGTTTTTTTCTACAGGTTAACTCTGAGAAATTTTTCACACACATATATATATATATATATATATATATATATATATATATATATACACATATATATATATATTATTAAACTCTAATTTTAGTGGATACTTGTATTTGAGTAGATGCTCCATTTATTTATTAAAAACATTTATATTTATTTCTGCCCAAATATTAGAGAAAAATATTAGAGAAAAATATAATCTTTCGGCAGGATTCAAACTTGCATTTATTTCCCTAGGGGAAACCGTCATTAGATCTGCTGTGCTTTGACCTCTCGGCTACAGTGTATGTCGATACAAGATATATATATATATATATATATATATATATATATATATATATATATACACACACACACACAAAATTCTTGACATCTCATAACGTAGTTACCTCCCCTGAAGTGTTACTTAGCTAATTGTACTAAACTCAGTGTTCTTCACTTCACCAGTAAAAACTTTAACTTTCAGATGAACACAGCAATTTTATCTTTGAAAATGAACACTACGATATTTGTCTTGAAAAAAAAACAACAACCTGAGGATGACATTGTGCTAATGTTGAAAGTACTCGGAATAAATAACATGTATCAACACAGTAATTTTCTCTCCTCCTTTAATACCAAAAAGCTTGTCTGTGAATATAATAGGATCTAATTGAAAATAAGTAGACAAAATTTGTCTAAATTATTCAACGAAACATGTCACCAAAATATATGCTGTGTGTGTGTGTGTATATATATATATATATATATATATACATATATGCACACACAGGGATATTTAAATGCTCTTGGTCTAATCCACTTCTCAAGACCAGTATTTTGTCAATAAAAAACTAATTTTGGTGGTGGAAGTGTGTTGGGCCAAGAAGTTTTCAGCACACTTCAGATTTATAATTCACATATGTGCATTTAAGGCATTAGTCTTTCAATAATCCAGTTTTGATTAGAGACAGTTGGCAAGCAATGTTTAATAATTTGGTAATTAATTTTCTTATTTACATTCCAAATAGTGTGTAGGAATGGGGGGGTGTCATATATCTGAACTTAATGAAAACTATATATGGTCTTGCTCAACTGGGACATGAAATTTTAAACATAATTGTTTGTTTAGCAGTCCTTTTTTTTTATCTGATTTCAATAATGGCAACTGCCTTTGTAGCTGAAACAGCAAAATACCTGTTGTTTGCACCTTTTTTATTAACTGAAACATTTATTTACTGTTATTAATTTTTTACTGCTTAGTTTTTGTTTCTTTTTATTGAAACTAAACACCAATCTATGGAGGACAGAAAACTGGATTAGAAGTGAAAGAAATAATCACTAGGTGAGATTCAAACTCTTGTTTAGTATAGCATGACGAAGTAGCGGTGGGGCATGTTGAAAAGAAGAAGGTGGGGGTGGTGCAAATCCTCTTTAGTGACTCTTTTCAATCGAAGCTTATCAAAGGGTCATTGATAAATCTCAAAGATTAAACAATCAAACATAATTATGAATAAAAATGAGGTAAAAATGTTCTAAAAATAATCCTTATCTGTTACCTCATTATAAGAAATAACAACTGAGGAAGACATAGTTAACTTAAGTAATTTCAGTCAGTTTTAGCAAAGAGAATCTTTTTTTGGTTACAAAGACAGCTAGTATCTATAAATAGAGAGATTCAAGGAATTTTTACGGAAATGGTGAACATGCACCACAAAGAATTTTGAAACTTTTCTGAAAAAATGTTATTGCAAACAGAGATATTGATGAGATGTTGGCCAATTACTGAACCTGAAATCTGTGTATGGGTTAATATTGTCCACTGATACAATTGGCCATTCCCAATCAAGATGTAAAATTCTGCTTATTCCAGGACTTCAGTCTTTGTGAGGTATGTGTCCAATGTAACTAGGTTCACACTGACACATAAAAATATAAGACAGAACTTTTAAAGTGGGGGGTGGTGGGGGCATTGACCTTGCTAATGGAAATAAAAGCCTTCCTAGTGTTAACACGGTGTGTAAATTGGAAAGCAGTGAATGGAAGACTTGATAATTTGTTGGTGAAACTGAAGGCTGTCCAGACAAGGTGATTTTAAGATAGTTGAACTTTTGTCAGGGGCGGGGGAGAATTTTGGTAAAATCTTTCCACCATATCTGATCTGTTACTTGTATGACCAGACCTGATGAAATCCTATTCAGAAAAAACCTACACGAAAAACAGATCATTAATGTACGATGGACTAAGGTGGCGATAAAGTTAATTTGTGTAGCATTAAAAGAGCCACCATGCAAATAGTTGAGAAAAAGTAGATATTGGTAACAAAGCCAGAATGAATCTTTTTAATCTAAATGTCTAGAGAAGTGTCAACTTTCTCTGCCATAATGTAAACAAGAGCCGAATGTAAAACATTGAGTTATTGAAAAACTTCCAAAGGTTCAGTTTCTTTATCAAACATATCATCAATGTATAAGAAGTAAAGGGAAGATTTGTTGAAATAAACCCTGTTTATGGAAACCCACAAATATTAGCCATTGATGATCCAAGAATCTTATCCATATATGTTTATGTATGATATTAAAAGTAATCTCAACAGAAAGATATGTAGAAAACTCCATTAATTCAATAAAATTTGGTTCTAGTATAGGCAGACTATACTTAAGTTTTGTACAATCAAGAAATTGTTTAAAATCATTTCTTTTAAGCTCAGAAAACTTGTCTCTCATTGGTTGGTGCCCTGTGTTTTTGAACCACCAGAATTTCAAGGCTGAAAGGTTAAATGTAGCATTGTGTGGTACCATATTTGATTATTTGACATTTTCTTTTTCATATGTATGCTAGTCATATTGATAGTAGAAATGATTTATTTCATATTTTTATTAAACAAAACATAAATTGTTGATTTGTGTTTCTTTTATTTCCAAACCCCTCACTATAGGTTAAATAGTAGGACCGGTTTCTAAAAAAATTGTTGTCCTTTTCAAAACAAATTGTTAATATAATATTCAGTCACAAAAGGAAAAAAAATATTATCCTTACAATTCAAAATATGTTTTGGCTTTAAAGAACGCATTACTGGTTGATAAGCCATAAAAAACAAACTGATTGATCAATCAGTTAATTTTAAAAGTTGCTTTTCACTGCAACTTCTCAGACCATGTGTTTGACTATCTCTATCACAAATTTGCATTTATTACTGATAGTTGTCTGAAAAAGAAATGAAAATTCTAACCCTGCCTGTCATGAGTAACATAAAGAACAAAAGCAATATGGTGTCAATTGGTGAGTGGATGGGAGAAAATTAAGGCAAAGTCAACAAAGTTAGATTTAATCTTCTATCAGACATAAAGCTCTAGTAAAAAAGTGGGATAAGAGTTCAAATCATATTAAGAGGCCCTACCTTGTCTTTATAACATCACATGAAAATGATGGCCTGAGTAGTTACAATGAAAGTAAACTAAAAATATGATGCAAGAAATACAAGACAAAAATGACTGTTGCCAGTGCTTCATTTAGTAAAAAGGAAGACAATATTACTATTGCCTTTATTTTGTTGCTCAATTTAAATCTTTAAAAACAGATCTGTTTTACTTTATATTTGATCTATGGAAAAGATTAAAATGATTACCCTTTCATATGATCGTAATTTTAAAATTGTGTTGTGATAACGTTTCACATTTCTTGTCTTCAAATGCATTAAAATAAAATTAAATAAATAAAAGCCTCTTTTAATTTATTTGCTGTTTTCTCCAGGCCTTGCTTCCACCACTGTCCCAGTGTACATAGCTGAATGTGCCCCTGCTCACTTGCGGGGTCAGTTGGTCACGTTAAATAATCTGTTTATCACAGGTGGTCAATTTGTTGCAAGTCTGGTGGATGGGGCATTCAGTTATGACCGACAGAATGGATGGAGGTAAGTCACAATTATGACCCTTCTTTATTATTATATTTTTTTTTTTAACTCTTTCTACTGTATTCTGTTTCTCTCTCTCTCCCCACATATTGCTTTTTCTCCCTATTCATACACACAACATTCACATATATCATCAGCCATTGCTGGTCCAAGAAAAAGGCTTTTCCCAAATTCTTCCATGACCACCATGAATGCTATTCTTTCATATCTGAACAGCAAATCAGCAAAAAGTTTTTGTAGCTGTCCATCTTCCGTCTGTTCTCTTCTAACTACATATTTGTTGTCCATTGTGCACCAATCGAGCAACCTTTTACTCCATCTGTTATCATTTCTTCTTGCTCATTTCTATGTTTTTGTTGGTTAATCACTTTTCAATGGTCTTTCCATTCATCTTTGTATCATTTCCACATTTCACATAGACCCGTCATAGCTGGCATTATACGTTTATACACTTTATGGTTTGATCATATTGGAAATGTGCTTTTCATTATGCTTCAGTTTTTAATAAATGCTTTCCATCCTTTCATTAGACATCATTTTATTTCGTTTTTCTGGTTTGTCTTTATCACCTGTGTTGGGTAAAATGCATTCTTGACCCCACCCTCCATCTAATTCTTTTTTGTTTTATTTCTGTTCATTATTAAATATACTTTTAGATGCTGAATACAAGGGTAGTGTCTTAATAATTGGGATGGGGGATGTCAATATGCATTAAATGGGATGTGGTTTTAATAAAAGGGGGTTTGAAAAATGTCAAAAAAAAAATGAAATTAACCAATTTGTATCTATCTATATTTCTGAGATGAGGTATTATGTACACTATTTACATTATTCGAACTATTGTCCTCATCTTTGTTGCCATATTTAACACAATGTTTTGGCCGTTGTACACTCCGGCCTTCTTCAGATGGTTGGAATGTCGAACTGAACCCTTTATTTTGCTCACTGAGGTAGACTGTTCTAGTTCCACATGCCATGATGTCCTTAAGGACACATGGCACAGTGGATAAAGGTGCTGGTTAAATCCAGTAACAGGACCCAAAGAGTTGTGAGTTCAATACCCGGTTAAGGCAGTGGAGAACTTTGAGACTTGAATTAACAGAAGATAACTGACATCCATTAGACATGGCACGTGGAACTAGTACAGTCTACCCTAGTGAGCGAAATAAAGGGTTCACTTTGACATTCCAACTGCCTGAAGAAGGCTAGAGTTTACAACAGCTGAAATGTTGTGATAAATATGGCAATAAAGATGAGGACAATACTCTGAATAATGTTAATAGCTAACCAATTTGCTATTCACATTTTCTACGTTATTTTCTCTAACCCATAAAACCTTTGAATTTATTCTTGATTTCTTGAAATTTTTTCTTTTTTCTTTGATTTGGAAATGTATTTGTTTTTACATTCATTCTAAATCTCACCATTCTCTGATCACTTCTCATATTTGTTTATGTCTTTAATTGTACAGCATTTGTCAGCCGTTATGAAGTGCAGTTGAACTTCTTATTTTTCCTTTGGTCTTTTTCAGTTCCATCTTTTATGCTTCTTTTTATTTGAAAATGTCTTTAGAATTATTGAGAAGTTTACTAACATTGTGTATATCATTTGTCTTTTCTAAGTTTTCCTACAATAGATCCTTTTCTTTCTTCTTTTCTCCTACTGAAGTCTTTCATCAAAATGGTACCTCGTCCTGGGTATGATCAGGAGGTTTTGAGGAGTGTGGAACAACCTCTTAATTGCTGGTGTTCCCAGGTCCACTCTGACCCAGGGTGGTAGCACCTGTTAGGGTCCCAGCTATGGGCAAATAGTGAACTCCCAGTCTAGCCCACGTCCTGGGTATGAAGATAAACTGCATCTGCATCCATGGGAATGGCGATAAAATACATCCACGTACTGGGTATGGCGATAAACTACATCCAATAGAAAGGCCGTTTTTGAAAAAATAAGGTTGTTGGCTCTGTTTTAGGGAAAATAGTATTACCAGCTATACGTTTTCAAAGGAATAATATTACCAGCTATACATCTCTGAAAAATAATATTGTCAGCTACACACTTAAAGAAAAAAAAAGAAAAATATTACCAGCTATACATTTTTTTAACAAAACCTTATTCAATGGAATTGTAACCGGGATCAAAACACTGTGAAAGTGTAAAAATGGGTTTTAATACCAGAAACTTTGTAAAAATTATTACCATCAATACATTTTTGAAAACCAAATGTTGCCAGCAATGTGTTTTTGAAAGAAAAAAGAACCTAAACAAACCTTAAAACACAAAGTAATCCAATGAACCAAAACAGGAAAACGATGATCACAAATACACATAAGATACTGCAATGGAAAGAGGAATAAATAAAAAATTATTACCAGAAATAAATTTTTGGAAAAATACTATTATCAGCTATATATTTTTGAGGAAAGAGATATTGATAGAAATGGATTTCTAACAAAACAAAAATATTATTGAAAAAAAAAAGTTGTCAGCATTAAATGACCCATTGAGGTTGATATGCCATAAAACAAAACAAACAAAATGGTACCATTTGTTTCTTCTCTTCCTCAATTTCTTCATCTGAACTTTACATATTGTTGTATATTTTTAGAGAGTATTTTTAGCAGAATTCTATTACGATGCTGGCTGCTGTCGACATTTTTTATGTTACTCACATTGTCACTATTGAGTAAAATCCAACAACATTAAACTTATTATTCTCTTTATTTTCTGATAGTAAAATAGATGGTTATTTACGTTCAGCTTAGAGGGAAGACTCTTTCTCGTCTCTTGTATCATTCATACTTACTACATGTACCAGGTAATGGTAGTTGGTCCAATTTGTAGTCATCAGTTTTGCTTTGAACTTTATTTGTATAAATCTTTGTTAGTGATTTTAATGTTAACATCTTTGTTTAGCATCGACAATCTGAAAGTGCATGAAGCATTGCAGACCTTTTTTAGATTCTGATCCAAAAGAAACATTATGGTGTAGTTTTATCATTTGGAGTTTTAGGAAGATAGTGGTTAATTGATTCCACCTGTTTCCACTAATGAATTGTTTACTCTTGATTTCTGTCAGCGATCTCAGAGATCCATCGTCCTTCAGTACCCATTGTATCTGGCCAGAATGAGTTGAGCCAAGTGCTTGTTTTGATATAATTCCTGAGAAATATTTCATGCTGTTGGCATTGATGTTCTAGTTTTGTCAATTGTTTCCTATTTTTTTGTTAGGCAATTATAAACTAATTAACTCAACAAAAGCCAACTGCATGAGTCAGTCTTCCAAACTGAAGTAATTCAGTCTGTGAACAATGGCTTAATTGCAAACAATTTTCAGTTTCAATATAAGCTATTATTACAAATTGGTCCTTTTCCTGACAAATCTTGAAATGTATGCACATTTTAATTTTAGTAGCTTGTTAAATTTTGCTCTGTTCATCTAATTCTGTTTGTAGAGGGAATAAAGTTTTTATTGTAAAATAGCAAAATCATCACTTACATTATCTACATTATTCAGACTGTTATCCTCATCTTCATTGCCTTATTGACAATGTTTCAACCATTGTACACACCAGCCTCTTTCGGGTGCTTGGAATTTCGAACTGAACCCTTTATTTCGTGCACCAGGGTAGATTGTTCTAATTCCACGTGCTATGCCTCTTCAGATGTCTGTTATTTTCCTTTAACTCGACTTTTCCAAGTTTTGGTTCACCACTGTTGTGGCCTGGTATGACTCACAACTCTGGGTCTAGTCACTGGATCTAACCAATGTCTTTATCCACTGGAGCATGAAGATGAGGATAACAGTTCAAATAATATAAATAATGCAAGTAATCATAAGACCTCATCTCAGAGATATAGACAGATAACAAAATCATAAATGAATGAAAAAGAGGGAATGTTGATATGTGTAATTAACAACTTCAAATTATAAGAAGTTACATCAGAAAAATGATGGACAGATGAGATATTTTTATGTTGGAGACCAGTTTTATTTAGAAGTAGATGATTGGTAACTAAATATGGCAGATTAATAATACATCTGTGTAATGCAAGTTTACAATAATGGTGTAAGTCAATTGGAATAAAGCTGCTTGAAGAATAATTTCTACTACCTTTTTTTTAAACAGAAACAGTAGTGAATTTCTTCACTTTATATTCTATACTAAGAAATTCCTAGGTGACTTTTGTAGATGTGAACATTTCAAGTTTGTAATATTTTTTTTTTTTTTTTTTTTTTATGAAATATTTTCATTATTTGTATTTGATTCCTATCAAATAAAATTCTTGTGTTGAATGACCAAATAACCAAACATCAGATATTTTTTTTCTCTTTTATGTAAGGAATGATAATTTTGGTCAAGCCAAGAATACTTTGACACTTCTTCAAAGTTTTACTTTAGCTTATTCTTGCTTTTTTTTATTCTCATGTCCATGCCAAAGGGAAACGACTTGTATCCAAGGAATTCTTCCTTGCTAATTTGTCCTTGTGATATCACTCGTTTCTTCTAATGAACGGGAATATATGAAACTTTTTGTACTACCCAGCCCAGGGATCGAGCACACAGCCACCAATATTTTATCTACTAAGCCATAGGACAATTCAGTGGTGGGAATTTGGAGCTTTAAACCTAATGTCATTTGTTTACCTATTTAATTAAATTGAAGTATGATCAAGAATTACATATCAAATTTTGTGCAGTTGTAAAGGGGGGGCATACAAAGGTAAGATGTTGTCCCTAAAATTAAATCTGAAAGAACATTGGAAAACCATAATTGAAGGTGGGGGTGGGGATGGTATGAACAAATGTGTATAGGAAAAAAAAATGTATAAGGGAATCACCAATCCTTCTAAAATGAAATTGGAATAACCAATAGAAAACAATGGAAGATAAGGCAATTTAAAGAATCCATACACACGCCAGGTTCTAATAATCTCATGAGAAAACCTAATTTAGAAATGAATGCCATATGAAAACTGTTATTTACAGAAGAAAGAATAT